TTGAAAAGTGTTTAGTTTATCAAAAATTCTAAAAAGTGTTGTAAATTATCGGAAATTTTAGATAGTGTAAAATTTTTTTTTGAAATTTTCAGAATTTTTTCAAAAATTCTGGTATTTCTTCAAAATTTTATCGGAAATTATTGATTTTTATTAGAAATTTCAAAAAATTCCGATATTTTTTCAAAAATTCTCATAAATATAATAGAAAATCCGAAAGCAAAATTTAAAGGCATAAAAATAAGGGAGCTTCTATGATAATGTTGTACAAATGACAATTTTGAAAAAGTCATTCGGTGACAGATCATGTGTTACATGAGGGTGTACAATCCCCATTCGTTTAATTAATCTAACAGTGGACAAAAATTCCAGCGAATACTACAATTAAGTAATATCAAAAATCTTCATCATTTGAAAAGGTTGAAATTTGGAAATTCATGCAACTTTATAATTTGCAAATATCAAAAATCTGCAAATTTCAGCAACTTATGATTAATTTAAAGGTTGAAAAATTGTCAAAATGGGTGTGTGATCTTCAATTACATCTTATGAACAAAAAGTTTAAAAATAATCAAATCAACTAATTAATTCACAAGTTATATACTGTTGGAACCAGAATTTCACCACGATTTTAAATATGTATTCAAAATTGCAAAACAAACTGTGAACTTGATTGATCCAAGCAAAAAAGTGGTGTAAACATCAAACACAAACACGCTCGATCCGACTTGGTTATGAGATTTTATAAAAACTAATTATAGAATTATGCTCGTGGTGAAATCGAGCTTCTAATAGTGTATTCATTTGCTTGAAATAATTAAGAATCATGATTTTGTCATTTTTGTGTTCTTGAGCTTATTCCAAAAATCACCAAATAAATGAATTAATTCACAAATTATATACTATTGGAATCAAAATTTCACCAGATTTCAAATATGTATTCAAAATTGCAAAACAAGCTTTGAATTTGACAGATAGAAGCAAAAAAGTGACGTGAAAATCGAACACAGACACGCTCGACCCGACTTGATTATGAGATTTTATGAAAAACTAATTATAGAATCAAGCTCATGGTGAAATTTCGCTTCTAATGGTGTATTCATTTGCTTGAAATAGTTAAGAATCATGATTTTGTCATTTTTATGTTCTTGAGTTCGAGTTTTTGAACATGAAAATATGAATTTAGATGAGAAGAATATTAAATATTTTGATCTATGAATTCCACAAAGATACAAAGTAATGTTGTGCACTATATAATTTTGTGTTACATTGACTAAATCAACACTGACATTGACTAAATCAACATTGCTTTCTAATTGGACAAATTCATGAGTTCACAAAAGAAAGAGAATTTCTTAATTCACATCTTGACACTCTTAGGCACCTAGCGAAATTTATTTTATTCTCCCTGCTTTCAGAGATACATATTCGGACGCACCCTTTTTTTCTTTATGCTGGATGCTTTCAGAGACACACGGAAAAAGCTCTGTGGATGCATCTCCGAAATCTTATTAGAACAAAATTTTTTTATAAAAAAAATCAAGTTTTTTTGGTCGCAGATGAAAATTAATTGTTGCAGATGAATATAAAATGACATACATCTGTAAATAAAATAATATGATAATCATAATAAAAAAAATAGTACATCAATGTCATCAAAATATAGTACATAAAAAAACATCATAGTCACTACTATGTGTACCTGACAACATCTGCATCCCCTCCTCCGCCTATGCCTCTGTCGCCTCGTCTACCTCTCTCACCTCCTCGACTGTCCGATCTGCATCCTAGGCCATCGATCACACCTGTCCTAGCGCGATGTCTGCGGTACATAAGTGTCTCGTTGCCACCGCAATCATGTCATCCAATACACACCTGTAGTCAGACCCCTCAGGAGAAAAACCAACGACAACATCTGCTCGCCCCATCTCCACTATCTGACGACAACGAGACAGGACATCCTGAGTGTGGTCCAACTTAGACTGCTGCTCCTCTTAGATCTCCTGATGAGCTGGTTCGGATGGTGACTTTGGCAATTGGTACCATGTAGGGGTGTGAGACAGTGAAGAACCATATGATGTAGCCATCAAGGCAACTTCAGTCTCTCGGCGCTCTGGTCGCCCGAGCCTCGTCAGGTACCATGTGCCTCTAATAGTCATCATAGATCTCTTTTATCTGCATACTGGTCAATCCGATAGGAGCGAAGACAATTGGGTGTCTGAGAATGGTCTAAGTGTAGTTGAACTGCCACATGACGCACTCGGATAAATATGGAACTGTGATTGTCGAATTGCATGCCAACCATCCTGAGAATAGGGAGATCTCGTCATACGGGTGCGTCACATGGTGATCAACATAGACATCGTACCAGATGTCCTCAACAGCCAAGCGATCGAGATAGACTCTGTAAGGGATGGCCGCCTGGTTCCCCCTGAGAGGAAGAAAGGCACAAGCACACGACATCAGCTTTGTGTAATCAGGCACACTTTCCAACCCGGTGATCATGGGAAAGTGCTAGAATATCTAAGACTGGAATGAAAATAAAAAACATCAGGATCAAGCATTATCATGAATATAGAATGAAAAGAAATGAAAAATAATCGAAGGATATAAGATTATTACCACAATTAGTGCCACGCTCCCTGCCACAGTCTTGGTCTTCCACAAGCATCCATCTTCCACCCTCGAATACATGTAAGCCAGGGTAGCCGCCCCCCAGTTGTACTCATGGATCCGTGTGGAATCCAAAAAGTACCTCAAGTAAGCGACATCTGTATATGTGGAGGAAGTGTGCACAAAAAGATGAGTGCCGACTAAAAATAAAAAATAACATCTCAGCACATGCTGCCTATGTATCTCAACCTCAGCTAGATCACCATCTTCCTGGCGTGCAGCAGCGAGTGCCTCACCAAATGTACGCGTGAGAAAGGAGAATCTCACATGATCCCCTCTGGTCTTATCCACCTCCTCAAGTGCATCCAGTGGATCATCCCTAAGCTCCTCGACCAACATCTCTCTCGCATCCTCTTTCGTCATCCTACCGTGACGGAGGAGGATACCCCTGATCGATATATAGCAGACAAGAGATGTCGTCCAGTGCGATCGTGACCTCGTCGTGCGGTAGATGGAAGAAGGGTGTCTCAGGGTTCCATCTCTCTACAAAGCCCATCAGCATCCCGTTGTTAATCAGGCTATAACCGATCTCACAAAGGTCCTTTAAACCAGAGGCGAGAAGGACATCCTAGAACTAAGCCTCATGTGGCTGCTCCAAAGATAATATCTTTCGCCTGTGGTTATAGAACTTCTGCAGCTGGCGAGTTTGAAAATTTACATAAATAAAAAACAATGTTAGTAAAAAACAATGATACAAATTATAAATTTCCAATGAAAAAAAAGAAATAATCTGAGTAATGTTACCTCTCCATCCCATATATGTCTGCTAGTATGGTCAGCGTACCATGTCAACAGGGACATATCTGAGGGACCCCCTAAGAAACTCTCAGGCTCATCATCGTCGTCGTCACCAGTATCCTCCGGTGGTGGTTCATCACCCTCTGGAGGTGGCACCGGATCATCGGCAGGAGGAGGACCAGGAGTATCCCGACGAGGCTTGCGGGAGGACGGGGCCCGTGATGAACCCTCAGCTGAATTCCGACACCTCTGGTATAAAGAAGTGGATGATGAAGTGGGATACGAGATTGAGGGAATGCCATGGGCATGTGATGAAGAAAGATGTGCCTCAACTGTATCAGTCTCTATAACAGTGGCCTGACTCTACTCGCGTCTCACAAATGCATGTTGTGAAACCCGTCCAAGTCACAATCTATCTTATATGTCTAGCATAATGTCTGCAAGGTATAACCAAGAAAAAAATTAGATACAAATAAATTAAAAAACAAAAAAGAAAAAAATTAACATTTTTTTTTACTTCTGGATGTGATCATACGGAAAACTTCCGTATATGTATCTACAGAAGAACCCATAATTCAGAAAGTTTGATTTCTTCCGGAGCTGCATCTACGGAATTGCCCTAATGTTAATTTGTTCTGTAGATATAGCTCTGGAACTTCCTGCAGCTCTAACAGTCACGACAATGACGTCCCCTACCCATAAAAATCGATTTTTTTGAAGCCCTGGTCGTCTATTTTAGCTAACAAACAATACCTACATTGTCTCTAAACTATATTTCTAAAATTATCTAAGAATTTCTACCCCTAAAACTATATTCTAACTCGTTTACGGGAAATATTTGAAAATACCTCAAAAACTCGAAAACTTACTGATTATATCGAACTTTGAATGAGTTTGAGTGTCTTGATCGTCGAAATGAATGCTTCTTGTCGAATTTGATTGAAAAAAGTTAAGTTAGGTGGAAAAAGATTTTTTGAGGATTTAGAGAGTTTGAGAGTGAAGAAGATGAAAAATGAAGAATGAGGGAGGAGAAAGAACTTTGACGCGAATGTATTCCAATTTATTCCGGAGCTATATAAACCGAAACATTCCGCAGATATATCTCCAGAAAAAACCAACATTGAGTCAAAAAAAAAATGCGTAGAGATATTTTTAGAAGCGCACATGGTGTTCAAGAATTCCAAAAAATAGAATAAAAAATTCTATAAAAAAAATTAATTTGATAAATTCACCTTAAAATTTTCTTTAAAATAATAGCATTCAATATATGGAGGTATCAATTTACTATTAGCATTCACTATATGGGCTATTATTTAAGTAGGGGCGGCAAGTTGATACCTCTATTATGCATATTATGCAGGACATATGATAACTTTTCAATGTCCTCGTATTCCTGAAAGCAAGGATAATGCAAGGTTTTTTCTTTCAAAAATGTTCTACTAATTAAATATGCTACAAAAATAGAAAATAATATCAGCTGCAACCATTAATTAGAAAAAAGAAGAAACAAAGTTATACCATTACATGCAATAAACATCTTATCATTCATATATAATTTTCAGATCACAAAGAACTAGTAACAACAAATGAACTCAGCACCAACCCTGTGGCCACCTATTTTTATGATCCAATCTCGGAATCCATATCTTGTTCGAATTCGAACCTAACATAGTCACCTTCTTCTCCTTCCGCATAAACAATACTTCGAAAACAACTAGACTTTTAACCCGTGCGACGCCTCTATTGAACGATCTCTTCACACTCCGACTGTGTTTGAGAGAATACAAGTTATCCGAATCAGCGGGGAAGATCTCGTCGCGCGTTCGGGTTGTGTTGAGTTTTGCATACTTTTGTTCAAGTGATTCCTCGGGTATGTTCCTTGCTAACAAAGGTGATGCACCTCCCCAGTAATTTATGCCTAAAGATGGATGCTGAGGTGTTCTGAATTCCAACACAAGGTCTCTTTGTTTTTGCTTCATTCTTGAAGTGTTCTCCGTTGTATCCTTCACCACTTGTATTGGACCCCTAGGTATCTTCTTATACTATATTCTTAAGTATTTTAATATTTGAAGTGGATTAATCTTAGTTGGGGTAATGCCGTGGAGGAATCTCAATGGGGGTAATGCCGTGGAGGAAGGTATTCTAGTTCGATAATATCAAGAATTAGGTAGCAGCTAGCATAGATGAGAGTGTAAAACTTTTTCCGACAATGACAAATTGTTTGAGACAAACGTAATTTAATAGTGGAATGATGTCAATGTCCTTATAATTATTAGATTAGATTAAGAAACATGATCAAATGTCAACTTAGTGCAACAAACAAAGTTCTTGTTTAGTTCATTGAGTTATTGCTCGTCTATTCAAAGATCTCTTAAATCTTTTTGGTTTAATAATTTTAAATTGGTTCGAAATTTATGATCATCTTCTCTGAATCAGGTGGGAAGAAATTTGTGTTTATGGAAAATTTATATATTTAAAAGTTTCTCTTAAAGATTTGAGTAAGTGTTTGATAATTTAGATTATCTAAATGAGTCTATCTGCCTTGAGGTTAGGAATTTGGATTTGGTGGCCAACCATAGAGTCCTATCTACTAAAGAGTTGGTCATTTGATCTAGGGCCACCGTTGGTCTTTGGTCTCTATTTAGGACGAAAGACTTTCAACTATACTAAAGAGTGAAAGTTAAGTGACTCAAAGAAGGGAATGTCAATTCATGTTTCTTTCATGCTTTGATTAATAGTAGGAGCAAAAGAAATATGATCTTAACCTTTAAGATGGGTGATAGTTGGATATAAGGGGTAGTTTCTATTCGGCAAGAAGTTTTTAATTATTTCTCAAAGCGGTTTCAAGATGCAGATTTAAATCGAATCATACTTGAATAGGTTTGCTTCCGGTCCCTAAGTGTGGAGGATAATCTTGCCTTGACATCCACTTCTTCCTTGAGGAGCTTGATGAGGTTGTGTCTCAGTGTGATGAAAATAAGAGACCAGATCCTGATGGGTTTGATTTCTCTTTTTTCAAAAGGTTCAAGAATTTGATGAGGGAATATGTGGGTATTTGGTTTTCTAAGTTTCATCGGTTTGCACCTCTACCCTATAGTTTTGCCTCATATTTTGTGACTTTTACCCTAAGATTAAGAATTCATCTTCCTTGGGTGACTTTCAGCTCATCTCCCTTGTGGGGTCTCTTTATAAGTTAGTAGCTAATGTTTTGACAAGCTGATCTCACCTAATTAGTTGGCTCTTTTAAAAGGAAGAATGTTGGTTGCTAGAATAATTGTCGTTAGTGAGGTGACTGATTTGCCAAAACGCGTTAGAAAGGCTTTTTCTCATCTTTAAAGTTGCCTTTGAGAAAACTTATGATTCAGTAAGTTGGAGTTTCTTTGATTATATGTTTATCAGATTTGGATTTAGTGTTAAGTTGTGATCCTGGATTCGTACATGTGTTTTTTTGGTAACATGGATGTGTTAGTTAATGGCTCCCCAATTAAGGAGATTAAGATCCAAAAAGGGATGAAGCAAGAAGATCTTCTAGCTCCTTTACTTTTCCTCTAAGTGACTAAAGGTTTCAATGGGTTAATTATGAGGGCTTCTGAGCTTAGTCGTTTTTCTGGGTTTAAAGTTGGTTCATATAGTTTGGAGGTATCCCACCTCCAGTATGCAGATGATACCTTAATCTTGGTTGATTCTTCAGTTGAGAATTTGTGGACTATAAAAGCAATTATAACGAGATTTTAGTTAGCTTATGGCATTATGGTTAATTTTCACCTATAGTGATGACGATGAATCAGACTCAAAATTTGTTATATATTTTTACTTTAATATTCTATGTAAATAATGTAATATTATATATAAACAATTTAATTTGTAAACAATTTAATTTAATATTCTGTCTAAACAATGTAATTGTATTATTTTTTTTAATTGTTCCCCTCGATTTTGGTTATAAACTGAGAGGTATGTGACGCTAGTTTTGGAAATATAAAAAATGTTGTAGTTGGGGATCCAACTGATGACCATTTCAACTATCCCTTCGGTTATTAAAAAAAAGGTAAAGTGACAAGTTTTCATGATGCCTTTTGTTACCTCACTTGTATCACCGAGGTAAATCTCGTTCACGCCCAAGGTAACATGTGTTTTTTATATTAGTGTTAATATGAAAGAGACTTCATTCTTGGAATCACATGTATGTCAGCCTTGGGGAGAGCTATTCTTCTTAATTCTTTCTTTAGTGCTCTTCCTGTTTTCTTCCGTTCTTTCTTTAAAATGCCAGTGAAAGTGTGAAAGAAATTAGTCAAGATGCATAAGAGGTTTCTTTGGGGAGGTGTGAAAGGAGATTACAAGATTTCCAGGGTGATGAGGTTTTATGTGTGCATACTTAATAAAAGTGGGGGTTTATGTGTTAGAGATCTCAATCAAGTTAATCTATTGATTTTAGTCAAATGGCGATGGAGACTTTTATAGGGTACTTTTTATCGTTGGTTTGATATCATTTATGTCTACTATGTGATCTCCTTTGTTTCTTCCTTGTGACATATTAGTTCTATGGGCCTTCACTCCATTTCATCTTGGTGGAAAGGAAAGCCCCTTTTTGGCTCCAAAAAAATATTATCATTCGAATTTGCTTGAGAGAGGGATAATTAAGAAGGTTGGGTCAGGTCTTTAGACGTCCTTTTGGGAAGACCCTTGGATATGGGCTATACCTTTAAGTTTAGGTTTCAGATAATCTATACAATCTCTCAATTTCAATAAGGGTTGGTGGGTGATGTAACACCCTTTTCTACTCCACAATTTTAATGACAAAAATATTCACATTTATCAAAGTAAACTATTAAACTAAAAAAAATCACCTCAAAGGGCGTACATTTCCCAATAAATCAAATATAGGTCAAGGCTCCGTAAACAACGGGTTTTCCCAAAAGTTAACAAAAATTGCTCAAAAGGCAGCGGAACTCAAAAAGGCATAATCCAAAGTTTTTCTTGTACGGAAACATAATCAAAATAACAAAATCAAATGAAATATGGTTTAACTCAAAGACCCCAACCCGGTGTTACACTATCAGAGCAAGACCCTCTAAGTTAACCAAAATGGCCAACAACTCAAAACTCCAACAAGATCCTCGACGACATCCACGGTTAAACCTGGTCATCTGCACGTTACCCACGTGGAGGCAACAGTCAAACAGACAGGGTGAGTAAAACGGTTCATAATAATCAATATAGGAAATCAATATATAAAACAACGTCATTTCATATTATGCATCGTCATATTCATCAATGGCATCAAAGGCCACAACATCATAAATTACTCAAGATTATCTCATAAATGCAAATGCAACAAGACTCATGCATGTGGTACCAATCATCACAGCTTGATGGACACTGGGCCATCAACCCTCCGTAGATCCTTATAAATAGGATCGATTATATACAAGAACTGGAGCACATCAAAATACATCACATTCGCACAATGGGATTGAAGCCAAAGAAATCAAGGTCCTGAACCAAAGTCCGGATGCACATGAATGCATGATGCACACGTCAATAATCATCCTCATAATAACATCATAGGTGCATCATCATTCCTCAAAATCATCATCATAACGTATTAATTCGTCAAAGAAATCACAACATCAAAACATCAAGGCATCACTATACAAAATCAGAATTCGCAAAACTTTACTACGTTCGCTAGCAAGTTCGCTGTGCGAGTCTAGGGCGAGTTTATTCGCTGTGCGAACACGCGATTACAACAAAACACTATTACGTACCAGAACCTAAAACCAACCCAAAAGTCCAATGATTTCCTTCCCCAATGCCCCCAAAACATCCTTAAAGCATCCCTGAGGTTTTACAGCGATAAAGGCACAAAATCTACGACTTATTAGGCCAATCTTATATCATATTCACGCTCTAATTCCCATAAATCCTTACAACTACACGACAATCATTAGATTTTCTCACAATCTAATTACTTTACAGGGTTGAAACCTTAACGACAGATTTTGGCCACGAGGGCCAACTTTTCCTCAAACCCAAACCAGCCTCAAATATATCCGATCATCAGTTCAAATCCCTATGGTAAAAACCTCAATAATAGATTTTGGCCACGAAGGCCTAATTTCCTTTATCTCAAAATCAGCCTCAAACCCTTTAAACCCTTAAATCGGTTTTAAATACATTGAAATCACATATTAAAAACAATGAAGACAATACTCCTCATACCTTAATTTGCCGACTCTAAGCCTTCTCCTTGATTCTAAGAAACCATGCGAAGCTTTTGCCTCAATCCTCTTTCTCAGAGCTCTGACTTTTATTTCTTCTCTTTTCACGGTCTAACAAGAATGAATCCTAATTCCTTCAAAATTCCCTTTTTGTTAAACCTAACTTTGGGCCTATAAATTGGGCTTTTCCAACATTACCCTCACTAACTCCTCCTTAATTGTCTAATTTGCCCTTAGTTAACTTATATTTATTTAAATTAATAATAATACCAATATATTCATATTATATACTATTATTTAAATAAATAACCCAAAATCCAAAATTCTCAATATTTCACAGCAACCACCTGAAATTACCAAAATGCGAATATTCTTATTTAAATAAATTAAATTAAATATTCCAATAAATTTGGGGTGTTACAACTCTCCCCCACTTAAAAGGATTTTTCGTCCTCAAAAATTATCTCAAGGAAACAGAGTCGGATACGACTCCCTCATCTGATCTTCACGCTCCCAAGTCCAACTTTCTCCAGCTGGTCCTCTCCAAACTACCTTTACCAAGGCAAACTCTTTACCTCACAGTTACTTCACTTCTCGTTCATCAATCTAAATTGGCAATGCCTCAACAGTCAAGTCATCTCTCACTTATACATCATCCATCTAAATCACATGCGACGAATCTGGAATGTACTTCCTCAACTGAGACACATGAAACACATCATGCAAATTCGCAAGCGACGGCGGTAAAGCAATCTGAT